AACTCACTAAATAATAATAATAATAATAATACTAATAATAATAATGATATTTATGGTGATTTTATAACGTTCTTGCCATATAATATATATTTTTATTATTATTATTATTAATAGTAAACGATGGGTTTTAAATTTGACAAACGCGTTAATTAAAAAAAAAAAAAATTATTTATTTAATAATAATAATAATGATAATGATAATGATAATAAAAATGGCGAATGAATTTTGCAATTAAATGATCAAATCAAAACGTAATAAATTTATCGTTTTTTTTTTTAAACGAGAATATTGAGACATTTGGTTGTTCGTTTGTTTTATTATCTATTTCCGGTTTATTAAATATATATATATGTGTGTGAAAATGTTCTAGAAGTTTCGTAGAATTAGAAGAAAATTTTTGGGAGTTTAAACGAAAAAACAAACGGTTAATAAACGAACCTGATGTGTTTTTTTTTTAGTTTTATTATGGCGGTGGCAGCGTCGGCGGCCATTTTGAAACCTTGTACAACCTTATTTGGTTTAAATTTAAACTTTTGCAACTAACTGCATCTTTTATTATGTTTAGTATTGGTAAATTTTCAAATAAAGTTTTATAGTCTGAACAATGTTCACCTTTAAACATTTGTACAGAAGAAACCAATATTAATAATAATAATAATAATCAAACGAGTTTTTTACATTATCGTGGGACGTGATTTTATCTTTAAATTCCAGGTTTTTTTTTTTTTTTTTTTTTTTTTTTTTATTTCTCTCTCCTACTCTCCAATATAGGAAATGTTGATGATGATGATGATGATAATAGTACGTGCCTGAATAAGTTATTTAAATACGATAATCCGATACCTATTTACAAGTTAACCCCGTTAAATTTAAATTACACATTTTCTAATTATTAATTTATTTTAATGATTTGCGAAAGGTATGACGTCATACCATAAGGTATAGGAAAATTATTAATATTATTATTATTACAGATTGCTGTGGGAATTTGTGACGTTTTCCCTGATATTGTCTCGTCTCCTTGATATTTTTTTTTTTATTATTCGTTCCTTTGATAATTAATTTATTATTAATCTCTCTCTCCCTCTCTCTCTCTCTCTCGCACATATATAAAATTATTGACTTGTCTTTAAACGATATATACTTATATATATCGTTACGATGAATCGATCGATCGATCGATCGATACATCGATAAATTGACCCCGTTTTTATTAATTTATTTGATATAATTTAATAACCTGTCACATTCGTATACAAGAGAACGGAAAAAAAATTCTCGAATGATCTACGATTGCATAATAATGATGATAATCGATTATCAAATTCATTTAAATAATTATATACGAGAGAAGAATAGAAAAATAAAAAATTTTCGTTTTGTTTCTCTATCTCTTTCTCTCTCGCATTTTCGTTTGATTATGTATTATTATTTTATTCAAAAAAAATGATAATTAATAATAATTTATTGCTTATTATTATTATTATTATTTATATTAACGTTGTTCAGTTTTAATTAGATTTTCGTGGTAGCAGACAATAAATTCAATTTTCGAATAAAAAAAAAAAAACGAAAAGAGAGAGAAACTTTTATTTTTATTTTTCAAAGTTCATGACCTATGTATTATTACTATTATTATCATTATTATTTTCGTTTATTTGATTTTTTTTAAATTTTTTAAACCGTTTTTTTTTGTCTTCTGCTACTGAAAATCAAATGATGATAATGATAATCAATCGTTAAGAAATAATTTTCATTTTAAAAAAATTATTTCTCGTTTTTTTTTTTTTTTCGTATTGATTAATAATAATAATAATAATGATAATAATAGAAAGTGAAAAAAAAAAAAAAAAAACAAAAAACCAAGAACCGGAAACGGTAATAAATAATTATAAAGTGATAACGTAAAAAAAAAAAAAAAAATCAGACCGGAAAAAGAAAAAAAAAGAGAACGTTTCAAAAAATGGATTGCATTCATTTAAATTTGATTTAATTCAGGTACGATTGAGTCGGTTTCCCTTTGTTAATTCGAATCGTCGGCGGCGGTTGGGGGAGAGGGAAGGGGAGGGAAGGGAAAGGAGGTGGCGGTTCGGGGGGTGTACAGGTAGACAGAGAGAGAGAGAGAGAGAATTTTAAACCGCACACACACATATATTAAAAACCCACTCGATTTTTTAACATTCGCTAATAAGTTTTATAAAATAATTTTCATCAATTTATCCGGCGCCATGTTTTTTTTATCATTATTATTATTATTCGATACCCAAAATCAAATTCAATCGGTTGTTTTTTTTTTTTTAAACCTGACAGATTAAAAAAAAAAAAAAAAAAAATCATTCAAGTGTTAATTTGCCTTTCGCAAGTTTTTTCATAATCAAATTTGGATAGTAGTGCAACGACCTATTCGCCGTCGAGTTTATTATTAAATTAAAAAAAAAGCAGCCGAAATTGAAAATCCGTCGGTTAGGAATTTCATAATAATAATAATAAGTAAAAGTAGTAGTAGTAGGCACTTACATTGATTGTTGTTATTATTATTATTAAAAAAACAAATTTCTTAGAACGTTCACGAATCAATTCACGAAAAATAATAATAATAATAATAAGGACAACAAACAGAAGGTGAATCAAATTATTATTTGGTTGTTGTTGTTGTTGTTTTCTTTGTTGTTGAATTATTTAAAAAAAAAATGCCCTTGAATTGTTTAAATTTTTTTTTGTTAACCGCTAAAAAAAAATCGTTTAATTTATAAATAAAATAAGTAAGATTGATTAAGCCTAATTGTGTAAAATGGCGAAACGACTACGACGACGACGACGATGAAATAACAGCTTTCTGAACACAATAACAAATAAAACATATACCTGAAAAATCGAGATCAGGTAGTAGTGGTAGGAGTAGGAGTAGTAGGAGTAGTGGTAGTCGTTGCCGTCGTCGGTATGCAAGTTTTTTTTTTTTTTTATGCAACGGTGAGCAGGTACGAGAAACATTAAATGCAGAATAAACAGAAACAAAAAAAAAAAAAAAAAAAAACAATGGCGAACAAAACAACAACAACAACTTATGAATTTATTGCAAGTTAATGAAAGTTTACGATCGTTCGTATCAAAACTGATTGGCTTTGCTCTTAACAAGCTTATAAATAACACCAGACAATATATGTGTAAATGCCTACAGGGTGTCCAACATAAAAATCGTGAATATTTTACATTCACGCTCATTTTTTAAATAACATATAGTTATTATTATTATTATTATTATCGCGTTAAAACAAAAAGAATGTTTTGTTTTCGGCAAAGCGTATTCGAAAGGGAAAAAGTCATAGAGTAAAAAAAAATAATAATGCTAGACAAAAGTACCAACTTAAAATTTTATACTCTCTATGGTTTCGGTTTTTTAAAAAGTAAAAACAACATTTCCGCCATTTTTATTTTTTAACAAACAAATATTATTATTATTATTATTATTATTATTATTATTATTATTATTATTTGCATAATATAAAATTATTATCGGGTGGTATATTTTTACTTTCTAAACGGAAATGATAAATATTTTTTTTTTTTTTTGCTTTCACTCTAACCGCGTTTATATCATTATTATTATTATTATTAATTTAAATGCTTGAAAATAAGTTATATATCTTGAGGTTGTTTGTTTGTTTGTTTGTTTGTCGGTGTAAAAAAAAAAAACAAATCGATATTTTTTTATTATTTTTTATTCCGGGCTCATAGTTAACTTTCGTTTATTTATGTTTTTAAGGGAGTTTTTTAAGGGTTTATTATTAATCCACATGGCATCCGTGTGGATATTCAGGAAGGAAGGAAGGAAGGAAGGAAGTCGGTTACCAAGAGCCACGTTTACGCCCTCTTATACACTCACCTTAACAACTGTTTTTTTTTTTAACAGCTGTTCCATTTACAAAATTAACGTATTTCTGAACGTACGTACGTACGTACGTCGTGTGACGTATAAAAGGTTTTTTTTTTAACGATAAAAACGTTAAAATTTCAGACAATCGATACGGGGAGGGTTTTCACTGATAATAATTATCAGTGATACCAACATTTTAAAAAAAAATCATCATTTTTAAACGGGCTTATATTGTTAAATTATTATTGACGATCGGTTGATTATTGCCACCTGTGGAAAAATAATTTTTTCCCCCCCCCCCACCTTCCATAAAGCAAACATTTATTTTTTTTCCCCGTTGTTGGCAACACCTAATCAAACTTTATTTTTTTTTTTTTTTTTATTGTTCGATTTTATGCCACCGGGAGAATTTTATTTGCTGTGTAAATATAATTAATATCTCACATTTAAAATTTTATTTATTTATTTATTTATAAATAAACAAGTGAGGTTTTATCATCATTATCATCATCATTATTATTATTATCGTATTGCGTTGAGAGTTTGAATTAAAAAAAAAAAAAAAAAACTTTGTCGAGTGTGATTTATTATTATTATTAATTCGCATTGTCCGATTTGAAAAACTTGAAATCATTAAATCGTTTATTTATTTATTTTTTATTTATTCGCGATAATTTGTTAAGCAAACAATTGTTTAACGCGAATGTTTCGAAACAATAAAAACTTTTTTAGCGACGGGGGGATGAGAGTGGAGGGG